ATATATTTATATTTTATATTTATTATATTTTTAATTGTTAGAAGACCATCAGATTTGATATGCAGCTCTTTCTTAGCACGAAATTTCATCTTTAACACATTCATGTTTATTTGTACTGAGAAAAGCCCCCAAGTCTTTGAAATGGTCATTAACATCCTTCCTGGGAGACCAGCGCAAATTCACACCCAGGTAATACCCCAGAAGCCTACGCACGCAGGTGCAATTCACTCTGCCCTGCAGGAGCCAAGCAACACCTCAGCAGGGCTCGCTCCACCACAGCTCACACATTTTGTGCTTCTAAATCACTTACATTCTCCTGTCTCGTGTGGCTCGCTATTGTACCTGGGTCCTGCCCCGAGCTCTGAACAAAGGAGCTTGTATTGGGGCCCGTCACCCCATCTGAGGCAGGGAAACCCCGCTTTGCCAGACAAAGTCAGATATTTAGAGGCTCTGAGTTGACATCTTTGGGAGTCAGCCCTGACTTACTCGTTGCAGGACAGCCTTGACACACTGGAAACCTCTGGCTCAGCATGGGTTTGAAGCTGTTTTTTTCCATAGCACAGGCTAGCACTTAAGTAACAAACCATCCTTTAGTCTTTGGAAAAAATCATGCCCACAAGTGAATGAGAGTCCACAGGTAAATATTAGTTTTGTTTACATACTGGTATAAGTGTGTAAATTCACAATAATTAACATTTTGAAACTAAGTGACATCAGTGTTTGGACTGAAGCATTTATACTACTTCTTTAAAAAATAAAAGTAACCAACTCATTAAAAAAGGGTTTCTTCAATGAACATGTAATTTTATCTCCTGCTTATATCAGCACTTACAGGTCTGCTTAACTGCAAATATTAGGTACTACAGAACAGTTATATACCCATTTACATGGTTGTATATAGTAAAATACAATATAAAACTAAATAAGGATGCCATGCTAGCAATGTTTTTTAAATGCAGTTTTCAAATATAGGAACATATTATTCAAAACCTGAAAGAGAGTCAAATGACATTTACAAAAATGTCAGCCAGATTTTAGCAAGGGTTTTAAAAGAAAAAAAGAGAAAGAAGAAAAGGAGCAAAAATCACAGTATTTTCAGAACAAAACTTGAGTCTGATCCCTGCAGTCATCTAATCCGAGCATGCAGGAGGAGAAGCAACGAGGATGGCCGACACGCTCTCGCAGGGATACGGGAGCCACGCGCTGCCTGCCATCCCAAAACACTTTTTCAGGTGAGAGCCTGTCTTGAACAGGAGGCCAAGAACCGGGATGCACAGACTGCAGCTGAGCTGCCTGAACTAGAGAGCCAGTCCGACAGCAGCCCTGAGCTGCTGCTCACATTTCTGTGCCCCCTGGACCCGCTGTCCCGACACCGAAGGCAAGGCAGCATATTTGGGCTACGGTGGCTCGTGCCGTGAGGCTGCCAGGATCCCGGGCACCGCAGGCTCGTGCGGGAGCTCTCTCTCCAGCCCCGGCGCAGGGCTTGGGGCTCTGCAGGGAGAGGTTTGATAGTGATACCAAGAGCATCCCAGGGGTTTTGCGAGGCACTGGGGAGTGCCAGGGACAGGATGTCTTCCTGACTGTAGCAGCACTGCCCCTTTGAGCCACTCCAGTCCCTCACAGTGTTTCTCAAAGCAGCTTTGGGATATTCTTATCCTTATCCTCCTCCTCCTCCCCCTTATTCTTATTCTTATTCTTATTCTTTATTCTTATTCTTATTCTTATTCTTATTCGTATTCGTAGTAGTAGTAGTAGTAGTAGTAGTAGTAGTAGTAGTAGTGGTGTTAATCATCATCACCATCATCATCATCATCATCATCATCATCATCATCAATCTTCCTTGTCCTTTTTTCCTCTACCACTTTTGGTCTTGTCCCAGCACCTTTTCCCAGGGCCATCTTTTCCAGCAGCCCCAATGCCTTCACGCTAGCCTCATCCTACCTGCAAGATTTTCAGGGAGGCCTCTGGTCTCGTGCTTCCACCTACAAGTGCCGTCTTACCCAAAGTAAAAAGTCTGGCACGTCAAGCTTCAGCCAAAACACTCTAACGTGTAATTTACAATAAAAGGTGCTTAAAAGTATGACTGCCTGGTACAGCACCTAATACTAAATACTCTCCCCTGAGTCCTTAGTAACATTTTTAACACATAATAAACTGAACTTCTGAATTTTTGAAAGACTGTGTCAGAGCACAAAGCATCACCATTAATGTTTTGGAGAGGAATTGAAAATGGATATTTGATTTCCATTTCTTATTTAAATACATCTGATACATTCTGCAAGAAAAAGGTATATCATCCCAAGGAATTATGTTTACCTCTTCTGCAGCAATGTATGTCTGTAAAAGCATTTTAGTGGATGGAAGATACCTCTAGCAAGGTGACATCAACATTAGACAATATTATAAACAGCTATTTGAGAGACTACAAAAATAGAGGCATTAGTTTTATCATATTGCACCAGAATCATTTAATTAAATGCTTAAATAAAGTAACTCAAATTTCCACATGAAATAAGCACACACACACAAGCAAACATATAATTGTGTGTGTTTTAATGTTACTACATTAGATATAACCCTGCAGCACCTGTCTATATTATAATCTTTCAGCATGTACATAGCCCACTGACTGTAGAGTTTTGGTTTAATTTCATTTTTTCAGAATAAACAATAACTGATGACTATGTCAATCTTACACCCTCCCAACGTAAGACAAGTCACAATAGTCCTTCCAGGCAATGGAAGATGAATGTCTCCTCTGAGTTTTAATTTTTCCTATCTATATTTCACTTACCAGTCTTAGTACTCCACTAGCACTTTCTCACTCTTTGTTGACAATGTTAATGGCAAATCCTAGAATTTCTTTACTAAATGAACAAAAGCATCCATAACTGGCAAAGTTTTACTTTTTATAAATAAAACAGCTACCAATGAAAAAGACTTTAAAAATCTTTACAGCATGCATGTGTAAAATCATAGAGTTAAAGCATGACAGTAATTCCGTTTGGTCTTTTTTTAATCTCTCATTTCAAAATTTCTTTGAAGTCTGCTTTTGAGATGAATGATATAAAAACATCCAACTGAAGCAATTAGGAAAGTATATTCTCAAACATAACTCCAGAGCTTTTTAACCTCAACCTTCTCATTCAGGAAAAAAAACCCTACCAACCAAACAATAAACAAAAAACCCAACTACTTGTGCATTTCTCTCCTCTTTAAAAATCAGGCAAAGTGATCTGGACAAGAAATATTCAGGCCTCAACATCATGTTTTTAAAACCACCAAGGACAATATGAACAACAGGAAAAGGCAACCTTAAGCCAAGTTAAGCTTAAATATATGTTACAGTGACTTTCACACATTACCTGTGGCTGTTCCCCCCCTCTCTCTTCCACACAGACACATGCATGGACAAACATAACTCTCTCCTCAAGATGAAATGCTTGGAGAGATTACCGTAGGCCAATTTGCTATGGTCTGCAAAGCACTATAATTGCAAGTTAAAAAGCATAACTCTGCATATTACAAATGTCAGATAAACACTAATTAATAGTGTCCTACCAAGTGTCATTTAATTTTGTTCAGTAGGTAGCATTACCAGTTCATAGATATCCTCTTCTGGCTTTGGTACATAAAATTGAATCTGGTTTTCAATCAGGAATTTAAGACGCAGGTAGTGAGCAGAGTGATCCAGCTGGTGTGTCTGCAAGAAATGGAGAAGAAGCTTTAGAAGAGAAAGGCAATGGCTCACATTGTCTACACTTAGAGAACGGCCTGACACTCATAGGAAGAAAAATGTCCCAGCACCATCTTTCACGAGGCCCATGATCTCCTAACCTGAACAAGAACCCGAACCTCCTCCTCTTCCACAGGGATAAGCGTTCATTTAATCACTGACCAGGATGTCAAGGGCAGTGCTCTAAGTAGCCTCTTGGGTTCTGCTTATCTGGCAGTTCTGCTCCATCTCATGCTATTGCAGAAATAAGCAAACACTGTTACAGCAGAAGACTCCGAGCATACCTTTGTATACAAAGGGCATTTGAAATCGCAAGGAGGAGAAAAAAAATGTTCTGCTAACAGAGAAAAACATAACAGGAAAGTTTTTTCTGTTTGTTTTGGGTATTTTAGCATCTCCATAATTTGGTAAGTATGATGTGGTAAAATTCAAGCAAGGTTAATATAAAAAAAAATCTGTATGTCCTCTAAATTCAAAATGGCTCAGGATACACTGGCTTTATAAGGCTAAAAGAAGGCAAGAGTTGCATGCTGGATTACATCCCAGTGGAAACAGGTCACACCATTTTAATGAATTAGTTATAATTAGCTGAGGATACAGCATTTGGTCTGGGAGATGTTAACGACCTTTCCTCAGCACGATTAATAAGCTTGATTTAGGCAGAGGTTAATGCACTGTGTAATCAAAACACATTAGAATTATGATAAACACAAAGGATGTCATTCAGAAGTTACTTTCAAAGTTCATAAACTGTTGACTAAAGCTTTAGCTAAGCTAAAACCTCAGTGATTCACAAATACAGGAGGTGAGTTCTCCTGTCGCTTTTGAGATCCCATTATTATATGCTTTTATACACTCGCCTTTTCATTTTATATAAGCAAATTACCAAAGTTTCCTAGGTTCTACTAAGAACAATGGCTCATCTGAAAATTCATGCACGAATATCATTATTGCCTATTTATTATGTTTTTTAGAGCCTCGCTTATCCAGTTCAAGCCAAGACGATGATACACGGGGACTCAGCTGACTGATCACACAGCACAGATGATGAGTAACGTACACTGAGTGACCTGTGGAACAGATGACACACTGACCTAGCAAACCCTTCAGCAAATCCTCACAGAACAGTGAATGTTTTTGAAAGTCTAGATTAGTCCATGAATAAAGCAAGCTGCCAGTAAGATGAAAAAAAAGACAGATCTATTCCTGCACTCTACATAGCGCTACATTCAAATATGTCCAATTCAAAGACCAAATTATCCGTATACGAAATTGAGTATCAGAAATGGGATAACCTCCGTAATCCGGACAAATTCTTATTTAATTAAATAAGGAATGTGAAATCTCTCAAAGGCCACAATAAAAAGAGCTGAACGTAGGTGATCCTCGCCCTTTTTCTTTTTTGATAAGCGTTTTGCATGCTTTTCTCATCGTTTACTGACTGTTTTCACTAGTTTTCTCTCTTACATGCACACACATACAAACACCCATACAGAAATTAAAGGGAAGCAGAATTGGTTTTGATTGTTCAGACATTATACATAGGAGTCCTAGATTAGTTTCTGGTCAGATTGGTTTACTCTACCTAGACACAAACTACAGAGCGCCTTGCACACTAATTAAACACAAACACACAGAGGAGACATAAACCCACAGACTGCACACCCCATGTCCGGAGGCAGAAGTCCAGGATAACTCTCTCTCAAAGTCTGGAAAACGCTTGAGCAATTTCCAGCAAAGCCAGTGGGGAAAAAATTCTATGTGGAAAAACCATACTAGCAGAAAAGAGAGCCAGGCAACCCGGCAGCCGCCTCCCACCACCATGGTGTATCTTCCCGTGGTCTCCTGCATCAAAGCTCTCGTACGCATCCTGCATTTCAAGCAACGTCAGACACGGCCGCCGCGCAAACGCCAGCAGCCAGACCTACGCTGACAAGCTACATGTCATTGACTAAAGCCCACGGTTGGGAGAGAGCCCCTGTCCGCAGCCCGGTATGCTTCCAGCAGCGACTCCCAACGTCCTCCCCTTGCAGAAGAGACCCAAAGGGACTCTTTCCAGCCTGCCCCAGGCCAGCAGAAATCACAGCTTGTAGGGGCACTTGAATTTACCGAGTCTGGGGCCTTGAGCTGTTGGGCACAGGCCAGGAGCCATCTTAGCTGCACTGGTGGGTCAGGGAGCGCATGCTCAGCTGCCCCAGGCTCCCTGTGGGGCTGGGGGCACCCCGACAGCCCCCCAGCAACGTGTCCGCCAGTTCAGAGCCACCATCCGCCCTCGGGCAGGGGCAGGGTATGCTCATGCCTGCCGGCAACCCACTCTGCAGCCTGTGCCCTGACAGCATCTTAAAAGAGCAACCTGCCCCCCCCGGCAGCGGCTTGACCTGCCGTCCCGGTGGTCAATGACAGGGCTTCTGCCTGCTTTGATATGAGCAGCGCATCAGGCGTGGAGGTGACCACCGACGCCTCCATTTTCACACTTGTCTTTGCAGGGAGATTTGCTCATGAGAAAATCGTTTGTGGTGGTTATTTCAGAGAGTAGGAGGGAGCCAAATGCAAGATGACCAATGCTGCACTGAAGCCCCGAACTATGCCAGAGCACAGCATCATCTAAAGAGGTCACTGGATAAAACTCACATATATTTTGAGCCACTCATTTCTTCCAAGAAACATCATCAGCCAGGGTGGATGCCATTCATCCACTACCTTGCAATCCCATCCAAGTCAGGCAATGAGAGTCATCACCGTTAAAGCTGTGATGGTGCAGCACAGGAGCCACATCATTTAGTTAATTAACATTTGTAGAGCTGCAGCAAGGCTTTTGTCCACCTTGAAATTCTACATTACTTAAACTGTTTCAAATAGGGGCATAATTACTGACGTGAAAGGAAAAGGTCCTCCTAAAGTGGACATAGCCAGTCTGCCCTAAAAGCCATACCATTAACCCACTTTTTTTGTTGCTGGCCTAGCTGCATCCATATGCAGAAAGGTGGGAGCAGAAACAGGGCAGCTTTAATGATATTAATATCTTTTCGAGACCACACAAAATACCTTTTAGCAGTCCAAGTAAGCTTTTTGGTTTATTTATTTCTCTCCTAATAACTCTGGCTATGTCTGGACTAAATTAAGCAGCTAACCCAATTGAAAGCACAACCCGACAGCTCAACTGACGTGCTCTTGAAGAAGAATTTACAGCCTGGGGTGCGATCCAATTCAACAGGCTTCGCGTGGCGTAGCGGGTCAGCACACAACCTGAACTCTTCATCCATTTTGGCTCCCTTCTAGTTAATGCAAGGGACAGGCATATTCTTTCAGCTTGGTGGGGGAGACCTTCATTAGCGGTGAAATGACAGCATCACGGAAACACGCTAGCCATCCCACTGTATTACTCTGGCTTCGCACTCATGTGGCCCAAGCTTTTCCAGTAGGAAAATACCAGCTCAAAATCAAAGTAAGCCTACAGAGCATCAGGCTTAAGTAACTTCTCAGAGACTTTGAGCACAGATCCAGAGACCATGATGGGGAAATCTGCTTCTTGCCCCTCACGCAGGTCTATCTGAAAAATGCAAATTGTGAGAAAACAGAACATTTTTTGCTTCTCACTTTTTATCCAGTTCAGTTAAAAGACTAAATGCCATCTAGTCTTCTATGCTTGATTTTTGGTGTTATTCTTTACATATTGGGTCTGCCTAAATCCATATACAGTATGTGTGTTTCTACTCAATTTCAAGACATACCGTTAAGCAAATGTTAGTAATACTTACACACATGTTCACACTGATCACTATTACCCATAGGAAACAATTTAATGTATATATACTGACTTTTCCTGCCTTCCAAGTGATGTTATTAATTAAATCTTAGGAGCAATCTTCAAGAAACCATTTTAAAATATGCTTTAAACTCTCCTCCCACCAATCTTGAATCATAAAAGTGTCACAAAGCAGCCTCCAAAACCTAACTTGCTGTATAATAACAAGCAGCAATGTTAGTATAGGAACACATTTTCTACAATGACTTGAGTGCACTTAACGTTCTCCAACAGAATAATCAAGCTCAGTTTAATAGCACAGATAGATTTAACCACACCTACAAACATGAAGAGGTTTATATGAAATGTAGATCTTGAAATGTTTACTATACCAGAACTTGACTGGTTCTCAGATGGCAGATGGCAAACTGATGTGAAATGATGTGGATCAGATATTAAAAGGGAAAAAATGAGCTGAATGCAAGAGACAGGAGAAAGAGATTGATTATTAAATGCTACAGAAAAGAAAGCATCCATCAGTGTTTTCCGGGCTGAAAACTCTTACAGAAAGGAAAGAAACAGATAATGGCTCTTCAAAAAACACTCACCCACCTCCCCTTCTCCTTATACACCACCACCCACAACAATCAAACACACAGTGAGAGTCCAGATTCTCAGCAGGCACCTACTGGAACTGGTGGAGCTACATCAATTTATTGCAGCTAAGGATTTGGCCCACTGACTTAATCACTTACCCAAAGGAAAATATAAATCCTAAAAATAAATCATTACTAATAACGTGTCATCCAGGCTCCCTGTTATGTCTCTCTCCAAAAATGTCATCTTTTCCTGAATACAATGAAGAGCTTTCACAAGCTGCAGCACTCTTTAATAGTGCACCTGGCAGAGTGACGAGCACACCGTGTAATTATTGCAAACAAATCCCTTTCTCTCACCTTCCCTCTCTTTGGAAGCACATGCAACATGTTCTAAAAGTCCCCAAAGTTAAGCTCTTAATAGTAATAAATGTTTTCTTTTCTTTTGCTGCTGTTGTTGTACAAAAGGGGACTCACTTTTCAGAACGGCACGTGACACGAGTCGGGTCTAGCTTGCAGTCAGCCGGTTAGCAGAAAACACACATTGTGTGGCTGCCAGAACTGAAAGCTTGTATTTAATTTGTCAAAGCTTTCAACTTCTCTGTTGAGATGTAACTCTCTTTAATGGCCAAATGTCCCTGGTACTTCATCTTGCAAAGAAACCCAGGTGGCTTTTCTTCCACCACCCCCACGTGCAGGTAAAAGCTTTCCTCTCTCTTCCCACCTGCCACCTACACGAGGTGAGTCTGGCTCCACAATGCAGACAGCAAACACAGGCACCTTCTCCTGCTCCTGGTGCTGCTGTTTTCTCCGTGCCTTCCTCCCCCGTGCCAGCCGGAGGGGAGGAAGTGGCAGGGGGAAGGAAGGAGGAACAGCACCTGGGAAGAGGACGACCTGGCACCTGGGGAAGGGTGAGCTCACCCCACTTGCCTGGTGGAGGAGGGGACGGGCCACGGGAGGAGGGCTTGGCAGAGGTGGGGGGACTGGGGTGGTCGGGTGAGGACAGGGCGACTGCACTACGGTGTTGCGGGGACACCCAGCGAAAGGGAAGCGGGCCTGGGGCTGGGATGCTGTGGGGCAGAGAGGGAGAGGAGAAGGGTCCTGCACACAGCGTGGCCTCCGGTGGAGGGGGAGTGAGTGGGTTGGTATGTGAGAGGTGGCAGCACAGGCAGAGTCAGGGTGTTAAGGCACTTCAGAGGCTCATGCACAGCGGCCGGAGTGGAAAAGGCAAAACCTACTCTGCCTTCCTCTCCCTGTGCCCATGCCAAGTTTAGCTCCAGCTGTAGGAATTTTTCTTCTGTGGTGCTAGCATGAAAAATCCAGTATAATTCATGTTTTTTCATCTAATATACAATTGATCCCACAAGACAGCACAGTCTGAGCACTGGCATACGAGAAAGTCACTACGAGGTTCAACTGAAAGGGCTCAGGGTTGTAGACACTGCACCCTGCTCCAGGGCACGCTCGCAGCCTTTACCTTGCAAATCATTTCCAGCACATCTCGTGTGGTGTCCCCGGGACGGATGACTGTCAGAACAGGCTGGTTGTTCGGCAGGCAGAACCAAGATGGCGTAAAATACTCATGTACCCAAATATCACAGTCAGGATTGTGCTGATGGACACTGCTCAGGGCCACTTCTTTTTCCCTCTGAATAGACAAAATCCATTATGACTCTACTAGCCAAATACAATCTCCTTCTTCATCAATAACAAGTGTAAGGAACATTATATGCTGTATCAAAAAGCGCTCCTATGGAGAAGATGTTTTATTCATAAGCCTAGATTGAAAGCTTGTCTGGACAGGAAATTTTGCAGTTTTACCTGAGCAGTATAAAGTGTGCCCTCCTATGTCACCCACACAGCTACAATGGTGCAATGTGCTTTTCCTGGGATTTCACCCTATGGTTATTGGGAATGCTAGGAATGCAACAAAAAATGATAAGATAAAAAGAGACTTAAAATTAAAACTTAAATTCACTGTATTTCTGGGTAAACCGATCCAAGGCCAACAAAACTGTTGTAGATGCTACAGTTCAAATACCCAGAAGTGGCAAAATAGCAAATCTTAGCATTTATTTTGAATTTACTGTCTTTTATACATCTGAGTTGCACTCCAAGCTATAAATCCCCAGGAAGTGATGGAGCTGCAGAATCCCTGCTTGCTGCAAGTGGGCTCACGCAGCTAAACCCATATTCACTGCATGAAGAATGTGCCTCTCAGCACTGTCTTAATGCTGTTTTATAGCTGACTTCTTCTGGGGAAAGAGAAAGCAGTTGTAATCGTGGCTGCAAACGCAGAAGCTCACAGAAGCACATGAGAACAAAACAGAGAAAGCCCTGCCTTTCATAGTTGTGCCAACCCTAAATTATGAAAACCCCATATGGTCGCCACAAGGAGCCATTTTCCAGAACCAGCAGCGTCCAGGTGCTCCTGCAGGCAGGCATTTCCCTGGCATGCAGTGCTAACACCCTTCTGGGTCTGGTACCTCCAGCTGCGCTTGGGATGCCACACGCAGTCAGCCCTCCTGACTGCGGGCAACCGGCTCAAACCCTCCCAGAGCAGCTACAAGTCCTACAGTGCACAGAGGGTCTTCTCCTCCCCCAGGGGCTCTGTGTCCCCCTCTCATGTCCCAGAGTCAATGCTGCATCTAGGCTGGCTGCAAATGGAGGGGGGAAGGAGGTAGCTGGAGAGCTGGTGTTTTACCTTGCCATCTGGGACCGTATCGTCAAAGATTCCTTCAAGAGATTTCTTTACTGAATCAACACCTTCACCAAACACCTGAGGAACAACAGAGCAACTCTGCTTTAAAACAGGAACATATCTCCATGCTGTCTGTGGCACAGGCTAAGGGGAGAACAGTGTATCTAACATCTAGCATGGAAATCAATATGAAAAATACAAACATTCATTTCAAAACACAGAAAAGGAAAATATCAGCTTCTTAAAAGGGAAGGGGCAGTGAAGGACAAGCTGGTGATGGGGCACCATGAAAGATCAGAGGCCATTTCTGCTTAGCGGTCTGTCACTGGCTTACTTGGTGGAGCTGGACAAATTTTATTTCATTTTGTGCTCAGTTTCCCCACCTGTAAAGCAGAGGAAAGGAATGCTTCTCCACCTCTGCTACGGCTGAGAAATCAGAAGGATTCCATTTCTGACTGTTTTTGTAATAAACCAGGTTCCAAAAAGTACTTAGCAAACATTTAAGTACCACAAGTCATTGTAAGGCTTCTCTGATGAAATCAGAGCTGGTAAACCAGCACAAGCCAGAGCACCAAAATCAACACGACTCCATGCAGGAGGGACAACAGAATGGGAATATTTACAGGATCCACTCCAAATCAGCACAGGACTGCATCAGGCGGGCAAACAGGTTTGTTACTGCGACAGAGACTTATAATTAAAACAGAAAAGTTAAGTTTTATAGCTCTACAAGACCATAGGTTTACTTTCAAGTTGCACAGGGGAAATGTGTTCAGACACTACATTTAAGACATTTTGCTACTTTCTCAAAACTTTACTTTCTCTTTGACTCTTTCCAGTATGAATTTTCTTTAACCTGGAACAAAACCCCTTTTCATGCCTGTCCTTATTGAGGAGTGAGGAGGATAGGGGTGGGGGTGAGGGGAGGAAACGTGAGGAATGCATTTATCCCCACTGAAAGAAAAAAAAAAAAGGGTGAGTTTAGGGAAAAAAACCCAGGAGTGAAGCGACAGTATGGGCAGCATCCTAGCTCAAGACAAGGGATTGCGCTTGATTTGGGGAAAATAAGTACAAAGCAACAGGGATGCCGCAGCACCAGCACAAAGAATTGGAATGTGCTCACGAAGGCATCTGCTGCTCCCCAGCAAAGCCCTGAGCTTTTGCTCAGCCACTAAATATTAGGTGAACTTTTAATGTCTCGCTAAAAACAAGATAAACAATTTTGCATCGTTCATCCTCTGCTAAACAAAACAAACACCCACTGCTGCTTTTAACAGAAGGAAGAAGAAATCACAGGGCACAGAACATGTGTCCCAAACCTTTCTCCCTTCAAAAAGTGAAAGAAGAGAAAGAAAAGCAAAGCCTACATTTCCTGCAATTAGATGAGGTATGGCTCTCAAAAACTGAAAGCTATAATTAGGGATGTTTGGAAAGAATAACAGGGAAGCACCTTCCTACCACACTGAAACACGTTTTCTAGAGAAAGATCTGGGCAGTGACTGGGTGGAAATGTTTCAGCATTGCCTTTTTTAAAAACCTGATGCAAAACAGGGACTGTCCCTACTAAATACAAAGCTTTTTGTTATTTTAAGAAGTTTTCCCCAAACTCAGATACATTTAAAGTATTCTAGAGACTCATAATTTTAATTCAAAGAAATAAAAAAGTCTGTACTTTTTCTTTGCCTTCCAAAGTTGGAAGGAAAATCTGTTTTACACTGCTGCTTTATTACTCCTGAGTTTACAGAAAGTACCTCCAGCAAAAGCAGAAGCAGCAGAAATGCAACAACAGTAGAAATGCAACTGATTCAGCTAAAGAAGGTGTGAATCACAAACCTTGTTTGAAGAGGAGATGCCGTATACTTATCTGTAATTATAGTCACTGATTTTTGAAGAGGATGTGGAATGCGACGACTATACGCCATGAAAGATTAAACAGGCAAGTTTAAGGTTGGATGTGTAAATGCTTGATGCAAGTGACTCTGCATGAGCTGCATTCTGCACGCTAACAAGTAAGTCTTGAAAATAACAGTATCACAAACTCCCACACACTTACCTGATTAATGCTTGGCCTCCCTTGCTTTTTCTTCGAGGTAGTATCCAGTCCCCAAAGAGAAGAAAACCTGCTTCTCCGTTTACTGGCAGATCTGGACATGGCCTGCGTCCTTCTCCTCACTCCAGACTCCCCTGTGCGAGCCGCCACCTGCCAATGCCACATGGTTTTAAAATCAAAGGTTGCAGCATCCCACCACGCCATGGCTTATATAATCTAACAAACAGTGGAATCTGTTTTTTAAAAATGGCAAATACTATGGCAACAATGCGTACTCACAACAGGGACAATGGTGATGCTGCCAGGCTACTTCCTACTCACTGCAATTTAACTCACTTCTTCAACATCAAACATCAAAAATTAAAAGGGACAGCACCTCCCCTCCCACTTTTTGCCATTTAGTCTGGGGTATTCTGAAGCAGCCTAATCATCACAGAGCGAAGCCTTAGCACCGGTGAGGGGTTTGGTTTTATTTTCTCTTTGTTTTCTAACAAGGTTTCAAAGCTGGACACAAGAAACCTGAGATTTCCAAACTTATCTGCTGCTTCCAAAAAGCCCTGTCTTTCTTTTTGCTCCTTCCTGTGGAAGCACTCTGAGCATCCTGGAACTGACTCATAACTGTTACAAGGCCAGATAAAGGCTTGCAAATAGGTCAAGGTATTTAAAACCTGCACTTCCTTAAAGATAGCAACATTTGAAGGAGTAAGCAAAAGACCGGAAGGAAAAAAAAGGAGCTGAAATAAGCCTTTTGATTAGAGCAAGTACCCAACTGCTTGGATACTTGAAAATGGCTTGGGGCAACCCCTTTAGAGCAAAAAGATATTGCCTTTACTGAGACCAAATATTTGGGGAGCATTTCCCAAATGAAGCAGCTCTGGTAGAAATTAGTGCGACATTAGTCAGAGGTGAAGTGTTTAGGCCAAAGTTTAAGCAGATTTCCCATGTGGAGGTGGCCTCAGGAGAGCAAGCTCCTCTCCTGCAAAAAAGGGAGTGGTAGGAGACGGCAGGTATGAACGGGAACGCAAGGCGAAGCTAGACAGACAGACAGACCCGCCCTGCCAACTTGGCCGTACGCTTCCGGGAACACCTTTGTACTGGATTCCCACAGCCGAAACTAGCAAAAATGTGGCTGTCGTTTGGCAACCCCTGCGGGAACACCCGAATCTCTGAGTGATGCCCCAAGCTATGGAGCTGAGAAACTGGTTGTTTGGGTGCAGCAGATACAAAAACCCATATAAAGACGGGACGAACAGAAGGTTGGCTTGTGTACCCAGGGAACTGTCGCTGTATGAATCCTTGAGAAACGTGGAAAATATCAAGGAAAAGGAGAACTTATATGCTACTGCAAGCGCCTCCATTTCCCCAGAGGCACCTGGGAGACTTCGCACATCCTCTGACTATATACTGAGGAACATCTGCAGGAGATGAGATGCCATGCTATCACCACGCAGCACCCAGCTCGAGTCTGAGACTCACTGCACCATCTCTGCGCTATTGAGGGCAAAGGAGGACACGAGAGTTTGCTTAAAGGAGAAGAAAGCACGTGTCTTTTCTAACACAACATATTCAAAACATATTTTTTTTCACTTGGCTCTCAAGAGACACCAGCATGAAGAGGCAGACTGTTTTTCAGGCTAAAGCTCAGTGCTTTGCTAGATGCAAAAAAATAAGCATAAATGCAAATTACAACCCACCACTTAAAAAAAAATATAAATCCACCAGCAATTATTGGAATGATGACGCTAATCTTTTCATATATAAAGAATAAAAACGCCCCTGACTGAATTACAGCTCTGGATTCAACTGAAGGGTACAGCTGACATCTACAAGACAACAGTGGAGCTCAGCTCTTTCTGTGAAGCTCCAGGAGTCCAAGCCAAAACTACATGAACTTGACTTAAATTCATTAAAAAACTACCACTTACCAATACATTTCCCTGTATTTCTAAAAGCTGGGTTGTTACATTATTTAAATTTAAACAAACATTTTAAACATTATTTGCCACACCATAAGCAGCAGAGAAGAACATTTCCTCTCCCTTGTGAAGCATCAGATGTTGATCACTGGAGACCAGATATTAGACTAATTAGTCAGTTGATTCACCCATATGGTAGAAAGCAAGCCATGTCCAAGAAGGTCTAAGCCAGCACGTGCTGAGGGCCTCGGAAATACCCCCATTGACCTCACTGGACTTTTGGATCAAGCCCATGTACACGGACATTAGAGATGAGCCTGCTCTTGTAGCAGGAAGATCTGCTTATAGAAAGTACGTTTACAGTGCAGATCTGGAAATTCAAAATCACATATTTAGGAGAAGCATGGTTTTCCACTTCCATAAGGCCATGGCTTGCAAGCATCTGTTTTTTAATCTATATCCAGGACAAGCATCCCTTTCAGAAAGCAGAATATTCTACACGCTAAGGTAAGGGCTCACCCCCCAGGCACAGACAGACTGCTGTTTGTCGACGTGATCTCTGCATTAGACACATGAAGCGATTTGCAGGTTGGCAAAGATGACCCCTGGCCTCTGTTCAAACTTACCAGTGCATGAAACGATGAGACTGAAAAGATTCCAAGACGGCCCATTGCAACTTTTGTAGGTCGGCTGGCAAAAGCAAGTAGTCTTTTAGGGTTTGGGAGCTCCCCTCCTTGGAGACTAGCCAAGTAACAGCGGTACCGAAATAGGTCCATCTGGAACTGTTCAAGATTTTGCTCCCAAACAAAGATCTGTGTACAGCAAAGATTGAAGAGTGAGATGCACAAGAAGAAAAGGGGAGAGGAGGAAGAACAGAGTGGTAAATACCTTGAGAAAATTCTACTGTTTCCAGTAATATACCTCTTTTACCAATGCTGATCTCATTCAAGAAACTTTGATTCTCCTTCTTCCCTGCTCTCCCCTACCCTCCCAAACCCAAACAGGATACAAATAATAAAAAAGTTTTCATTAGACAGAAAACAACTTTATGTTCACAGCAGAGGCCTTCTCATGGGATAACCGCTCCTTTGATACGATGTTAATTAATAGGATTAAAATTCCATTTTAAATTTTCTTTGTATTCCAAGATTCTCTTCTGAGCAGTCCCTAAAGAGGCTTCTTTCATGCATCAAGGGCATCTGACAAACTAGAAGACCAAACCCCACCGAATTCCACATACAGAGCACCTCAAATCAGCAGCCGCAACAGCAGCGTTGCTGTAAGCATCAACAGAGCTCGCCATACTTGAAAAAGTGTAGTATGCTGGGGATAATTAATCTTATCATCAGAAGAGCACTATAATCAGCCTATGTAAGGACTTATTTAAATAATTCAAATTGCTGGTAGGAAACAGTTTCAAAGTGTTTAGAAAAACTCAGTTACATCAAAAAAGAGACTGCTCTGCCCTCTCACTATGATTGACAGCCTTTGAGTGGAGCCCTTTCAACAGAGGCGATCATCTCCCCCCTTGCTCCTCTCTTTTCATGGGCTTCCAGTGGATACGAAATCTCTTTAGCTTAGCACATTAGGGTCCCAGCCGCTCCCTACGGTTTGCATTACAGGCGCATTTGGCAGCCATGGTAAAAGAGCTACAAACTAATGAAGCAGGAGCCATATGTTAGTTTCCTAAAATAAGGTGCCGCTGCAGCAGCGGGAGGGACATCTGCTGTAGGCTCTCTCCTTCTGAAACACAACTACATTGTCTACTTGAAGTCAGAAGGAGTGGTCCCAAGGGGCAGCCAGGGCTGCAGCCATGAGGTCAAGGCAGGCCCTTGTAACAA